AAGAGGAAGGAAGACGTACGTACTACGACTACTACTACTACTAACTACGTACTCTATATACTTATACTATATATATATATATATATATATATATATATATATATATATATATGCACACACTAATGATATGCGCGTGAGTTGCACGTGTGTATTAAAATATTAATGATTAAAATAAATTTCAATCTTCAAATAAAATTTTCAAAAACCATAAAATTTGTTTATGAAAGGGTTTGTAGAAGAGAGAGAATTTGATGGGTCCATCTTCACATTTAGGCTTCTATTAGATAATAATTAATTTTTCGTGTTTTCAATTATATTATTTTCTAACCTACTCTAAAATTAGTATTAATGATATTATAATATATTCATAAGTAAATATTATTATGGAATATTAGAAAAAATGAAATAGAAAAACAGACCACATAAACTTCAAAATATAATTATAATTCTATTTATAACTGTATTTTTACGTGATTATTTTTTAAAAATAATTTCAATTATATTATTTGGGTGAAGTAATGAAAAGAGATATGGTTACCTATGGTCTACTTGAAAGTATGATTCTTGATAGAATGCATACCGGAAAGAAAGATAGAGAAGGAATTATCTTTTTATTTTTTATATATACCAATATAAGTATTCTCTTCTACACCATTTTTCCTTATTTTCGGTTTTTTTTACCGAAATGACATTCGCGGTAGTCATATTACCGTAATAGTTAGTGCATGTTATACGATACTTTAAGTACCGTAATACTTATGAAATTTTATACGTAAACTTACACTAGCCCTTATACAGTATTTTAAGTACCATAAACACTAACCTTTCTACAGCATTTTAAGTACCATAAACACTAACCCTTATACAGCATTTTAAGTACCATAAACACTAACCCTTATACAGCATTTTAAGTACCATAAACACTAACCCATATTATACGTCACCTGTAAACATTTTTCTCATTGTGTTTATCTCTTTCATTTCTAATTATTTTTATGTTTATCTATTATTTCTCTCTCTAATTCTTTTTAACATTTATTTATTCTTTCTCTCTCTAATTATTTTTTGTCTTTTTTTTTTCTCTCTACAATCTCATCATCCTCTCCTTAGAGAGAGTAATCAAATACCGACTTCAGCTATACAAAACAGATGACATGATCTATCTAAGAAAATGATGATGAGATTGTAGAGAGAAAGAAGAGATAAAAAATAATAAGAATGAAAAATAAGAGATAAATATTAAAATGAATTGGAGAGAGAAAGAAGAGATAAACATAAAAAGAATTAGAGATGAAAAAGATAAACAAAATGATAAAATGGTTTACGGCATTTTAAGAGCCGTATAACATGGTTAGTGTTTACGGCACTTAAAATGTCGTATAATGGGGGTTTTAGTTTTATGGTTAGTGTTTACAGTACTTAAAATGCCGTATAATGGGTTTTAGTTTTATGGTTAGTGTTTACGGTACTTAAAATGCTGTATAATGGGTTTTAATTTTTACGGTACTTAAAGTACCGTAATTGGCTTCACGGTCATGGTCAAAGTTTTACGGTATTTAAAGTACCATAATATTACTTGAAATTACTACGGTATTTTAAATACCGTATAAAATGATATGTATTACGGTAGTAAGATTACTGTGAAGGTCATTTTGGTCTAAAAAAAACCGAAAATGAGGAAAAATGGTGTAGACGAGGTAAACAAAAGTTTAGGCTTTTTTCCAATTAACCTTAAATTAAGGTATATTTGCGATAGTTTCTCTTTTAAAAAATAATTAAAATTGTCTTCAATTTATACTAGTAAATATATTATTTACTTATAAACAAATATTATTTTGAAAAGTTAGACAAAATAAAAATACTTATTGGTATTACTTATAAGTAAATAATAAGATATCGATTGCAATTACAACTGATAATAATGTTGTTAATAGACCTCTATCTCAGTGTTTTTTTAAAAAAAATTAGGTTTAGATTTTGGAAGTCACAAAAAATTAATAGAAAATGAAAAGCCAATAGAGAAAAGTAAAAATGAATAAGGAAAAATGGAGTTTATTTTTTTTGGCATCTACGAATTTTAATATTTATTTATTAATGTAGTTTTTGGGGCACCACTCTCTCTCTCTCTTGCTCTCTCTCTCTCAGGGGTGGCAGTGGACCCGAGATACGACGGGTATACCCGATCTCGGGTATGGGTTCATGTCCAAATTTTGGACCTGAATACTATTCATGTTTGGGTTCGGGTCCAAATCCAGCCGGACCGGACCCATACCCTATCCGTTGCCACCCCTACTCTCTCTCCCTCCTTGCTAACTTTTGAGAACTCGTGGCCTTAGCTCTTGAGGGGAGTTTCCAAACCAATGCTAGCCGGCATGACAGAGCTGAGGTCCAATGGTCTCCCATGGGGTTGGACTTGGCTTGAACGCCAACTAACAACTCAACCCCTTGAAAACCAAGCAACAACACATGAGAAGCCCAAACAAGCACCAATGGACAACACCATAGACTCAAGGCCTCGCATTGACTCCAAAAGACACAAGCAAATTAGTGTTGAATCCCTAGATTTGGCCACCCCCAAGTCCTCAAGATCCTCTCCAGCTCCAAGCTCAAGACATGTAATTGCAAGCAAACCACCTTCAATTTTTGGTTCAACAAACATCAAGAGCTCGAATTTCAATGGCAATGGAGGTGATAGAGATGATGAGAGCTTAACCAGTTGCCCACCTTTCTCTATGCCTAATTATATGGCACCCACTTTGTCAGCTAAGGCAAAGGTTAGGGCTCAAAGTGCCCCAAAGAGAGGGTCACAAGCACCAAGCAATGACCCCAAGAAAGGCCCATTTGGGTCGTTGAGGTGGAACAAGGGCTCAATCTTCTCAAACAAGAGCTCCAATTCCCAAAGACTCTCAAAGCAAGATGGCTCTTTGCATGCACTTGGGAATTTGAGTTTGGACTCTGCCCATTCTTTGCCTGTCGGGGTGGGGAGAAAGCCTTTCTATAGATGAGGTGTGTCTTATGTTATTGTGTGATTTTTATTGCTATTCTCTAGTTTTTTCTTATTCTATATTTTTTTTTTTCTTTTGGGATTTTTGGGGTTTTGTAAGTTGATTGATTGAGAGTGATACTTAATGGTAATAATATTGAGAAAAGTATAATAGAAAGGTTTTGCAATAATTCAAGTTACAACTTGTGTTATTTCTCATGGACCGGACTGTTGTTGGCTAGAGCTCAACTTGATTATGATGCAATGGCCTTTAAAGGTCCAATCCACCCAGTGTTCCAAGATTCGGAATCGGGCCAAATTTCCGATTCCGATTCAACTTGTCCAACTGGCAATTCCTAAGCTGGATCATGATGTATTTGCTGTTCGTCCTCGACAATGGATGGTGGAGATGATTCATAGTTTCTAGTGAATGTGTGCTATTGTCTTTTGAAAGAAGAGTTCACGACTCCTCTCCACTGATTGCATATGGTGTACATTATGTATGGTGTATTTCCTCCATAGGACATCCATATCTTTATGGTCCGTAGTTTGGTTAATTAATTACGGTTTAGATATGTCTGTGGACGCATTTATTCAAGTGCATTTACCTTGTAGAATCCATTTTGGAGGTGAACTTTCGATCCAAAACTTATCGGATATTTCGTCTCTATTACCATGATCTTGAATTTAAAAAAAAAATGAATTCTTAGGCCTTCAAAATGATCCTCTGGTCTCCCTTTTTTGAACAAGTCATTGTAATTTTTCAAATATCATATATAACTTATTTTTAGCGCTCTCAATTCACGGATTTGAAGTTAAAATGAATTCATATAGACTTCAAATGAAAATGGATTTGTAGCTGTGTTTTGGACAGTTCTATAAAATCCGGCAATTTCCAATCCGAATCATGAATCTGGATGGAAATTGTCGAGACCAAACCGGTTTCGAGATGGTATCAGTCCTGGCCCGTCCAACCTAATCTAATCTGGATTAAGAATCAATTGGGATCAAACCGGTTTTGAGAATGTACTAGTCCTGGCCCAACCCAACCTAAAAAACCCCTTTCGTATTTCTCTTCTCTTTTTTCTTAAGCTTCTCTTATATTTTATTATTTTCTCCCTTGAACCCGCACCCCATAAATCTCTATTTAAATTTTATTTTATTTTGAAATTTTTTTCTAAATTGTTGATTTGAACAAGTCCATATTTATCCAAATTGTCGATTTAGTAATCCAACGTAGATTTGTGGGATAGACAATCTACCCCACTGATCTGGGTTTGGAAACATTGGTTTGAAGATTCAAGATTTTATGAGCCTTTCCTAAATTCCCTTGATGGAACTTTGTCTAAGAGCAGTTAAAACTCAAACTTTTGGGATCTAACCCCTTCATCAAGTCAGTGATTTGCTCAAGATTTTTGATTGGTCTCTTGATTTCCCATTCTTATAGGAAAACCCAAATAATGCACATGGATCCCAATCTAGAGCCACCCACCTAAAGCTTTCTTATAGCAAAACCCAAACATTGCACATGGATCCCAATTTAGAATCACCCACCTTAAGCCTTAATGCTTAGGGCTAATTCAAGCCCCTTGGCTTGATCCTTATGAGATATCAAAATCAATAAATGAGGGAGAAACTAATAACAAGGGATATCCCTTTGCTGCCCACAAAATCACATAACTAAGATCTAGCTTGATTTAAAACCCATGAGAAAGAGAGGCTCTATTTTAGAGAGAGAATAAGTAAGAGGTATAGAGACAAAGGATGAAAATGACATCTTTTATAGATTTTTTATGCATTAGGGTTTGTCATCGTAAGAGTAAATCTTGACCGTCGATCTAAAAAAACTTGTGGAGTGAGAGATGTGAGTCATCCATTCTCTATATCCACCATCAAGATGCTAAGAAATATGCTAGAAACCTTATCCTCCCTTTCCTAAACATATTCCCATCAAATAAGTTGAATAAATAAAATAATTATTTACTTTCTCATTTAATGAATATCTCTTACTTATTCAAAAACTTGATTCTCAAGATATACTAAGTGTCGTTTACAAGCCACCTTTCAATATCAAAGCTTACTTAAAAATACATGCCTTGAATAAAAAAGGCTTATCACCATCAGAAACTAATGCCCCTTGGAATGGGGCGTGCCACCCATAGTGAGCATCGGTGTTCCCCACATACCATCTCATGGTAAGCATGGTACCCATGTAGAACATAAAATATTAATAAAAAGATTTAAGATTTTTAGGAATAAACATTATGTACTTTGAGTATTTTAAATACGGAAATTTGATTTTTTTTTAATCTATAAATCCAAATGACATAATTAAAATATCAGAAGAATCACAAAAAATTAAATAAACATCCAAAAAATCATATAACATAAAATTAATTAAATTAAATTAATTTTGATGGGAATTTTATCCGAATATGTATAGGATTTAATCAATGCACATAAGCACTCCACTTTCAACTGTGGACCACAATCTACACTAGCTTTTTCAAACTGACCCAGCAGTTCCCATAACCCACAGTCTATTGCGGGGGCTCATGATTGAATTGTCAAAGTCAATCAATGGGCTATAGGGATGTAATCTCATTATGTGGATTTTAAATTCTTCCTTAGAGACAAACTATTATCCGTCAAATCATGATGCAATAATGACTCTATAGTGCATAGGGATAATCTTTCGCACATGTACACGTTTCACCTTCAATAGTAGATTACTATCTCAGTACGACTATCTATGTACATGCCGCATGATGATACAACGCTGAGGTTTTAGTATTGTCTCTCTAGACTATTCATCACACACAAGGGTCACACAGTCCTTTGGTTCTCATCCGAGCATACTTCGACCTCATCAAAGGTTAACCCACTAAACCCTCATCGGTTTCATCTCTATGCCCAGGTACCTTGGGTTTCCAACTTGACTAGCCTACCACGTCAAGCGTAGTCTGAGTATCAAAAAATTGCATTTGCCTAATATAGTCCACAAGAGGACTACACTCCCACTAAGTTTATAATTCATTTATTTCAAATGTTTATACAATATCTCTTAAGCTCTTAAAAGCCACACAAACCCAACAATAAAGTATGTAAAATTATGAGATGTAACCTCTTCAATCAAGTAACTTGCCTCAAAAAATGAATAAATCGATAGAAACTCAAACGCATCTAAAATAAATGAGTTTTTCAACCGTGAATAAAAAGGGAATATGAAATTTAAGACTTTTGTTGAACAAGTATGATGAAAAGCAAAATATGAGATTTAAGGCTTCTAGAAAACAAAGTATTATGAATAGAAAAATGGTGTGAGGCTCTAAATAATCGAATTAATGCGCACCTCAAAAATTTCCCTAGAAAGGGTTATTTTGATGCCCAAATATCCCCAATTGATCTCAACCTCAAGATGCATAGACATGAGAAAAAAATGGATTTCACGTTTTGGAAATAATGCATATATTTTTTTAATAAATTGGAAATAATACATCTTGTAATGCATTTTTGGCCCATCAATGTTTAAGATGTTCAAGTTTTCATAGATCTACTCAATTTATACTATTTTTTAAGCTTTAAATCTTATAATTAGAGATGAAAATATATTTTAAAGCTATCACAAAGATTTCCAGTATTGAAACCACATTTCTCGACAATATTTGGAAAAAAATGTGGTGCATGATATAGATAAAGGCAAACATCTTACAAAGACAAATGCCCAAAGAAAGTATGGCTAAAAACTCTAAAATTCATCAAAGCTAAACTCTAATGACGAAAAAATAAAAATAAATTTTTTAGGGCTATAAAAAAGTTTAATTTGATGGAAAACCTTTCAATTAATCATCTCGACTTCAAGATATACATATATACCAAAAAAAAGAATTGGGTGTAGTTTGTATAGAGCCTAGGCTCTAAATAATCAAATTAGAGCCTACCTTCAAATAGTGTCAAGAAATATAGTTTCAATACTGAAAATCATGGTGATAGCCTTAAAATATATTTTCATCTTTATTTATAAAGTTTAAGCTTAAAAAATGGTATAGACCGGTAGATATATGAAAACTTGAAAATCTTAAAAATTGACGGCCCAAAAATTGATTACAAAATACACTATTTTTAAAACTTGAAATCCATTTTTTTTCTCATGTCCATGCATCTTGATGTCGAGATAATCAATTTGAGAATATTTGGGCATCAAAACAACCTCTACTATTGAAATTTTTGAGGTAAGCTCTAATTTGATTGTTTAGAGCCTCGGCTCTGTATAAACTTTTTCCAAAGGAATTTAAAGTCCTAAAAATAGTGCATCATGTAACAAGTTATCTTGACCATTCATTTTCAACATTTTCAAGTGTTTATATATTATTTGCTCGATATATATTATTTGCTCAATCTGCATCGTTCTTATAACTTTAAATTTCATAATTAGGTTTGAACATAAATTTTCAAGTCATCGTAATGTTTCCAACACCAAAACTATACCTCATAATATAAGGTGGACAACTTATACAAACCTCACCCATTTATAAATAAGGATGTGGTTTCTATAAGGCATAGGCATTGTGGAAAAGAATAAAGCCTCACCTTGAAGCCCCATTCGATAACACTTTGGATATGGGAAATCTCTACTATGGCTCTAAAATCAATTTTCACCATGGATTGGTGAAATTTGTAGCTCAAAAAAATGATACAGATATCGAGGATTCTGAACAGTAGAAAATCAATGATCTAGATACTGTGATATACACTATTTTTTGGGCTTAGGATCCTAATTTTTTGCAGCCAGAACGGTCAAGGTCAAGATGGTCAATTTGAAAGCTTTTCAAAGCCAATCAAAACAATTTCTTTTAAACTTATAAGCCAATTGATATTATACTCCCACGGAACTATCCATTTACTCCCTCGGGTAAAACCTCACCTAGAACTAATTTTAGGACCCCGGATTTTGGGGATATAACCTCTTTGACTCACATATTAATCTCAATAAAAAAAATTTCCTATAACTAATTTTAGGACCCCGAATTTTGGGGATATAACCTCTTCAACTCACATTTTAATCTCAACAAAAAATCTCAATAAAAAAAAAGTCTCGAGATTGAATAGAGACCATCCAATTTTTTGATGGTGCGATGAAAGTGTTAGAAAACTCAATTTCTTTGAGATCAATCTTCCAATGATTCTTAGGTAGTTCCCA